TTGAATAAATTCGTTTAACATTTAAACCTATTTTCTGCACATTCCAGCACATAAAATAAAATATTTTTTGTGTTTACACTCACTCTTTCAAATAGATGCAAGTAAAACACAGCAGAAAATAAATAAAGTCAAAGACTCAGCGGTCCTGTTGCTCTATTTTCACCTGTAAAGCAGGACTGGGGTAGGCGGAGGTTTACCCTGGTGCAGGTGTGCCGCGGTCAGTGGAAGAATCAGCGAGTTTCTCTGTGAATTTCCCATTACGTCATAGTGCACTCGGTGCTTGCTTGGAAGTTTAGGGGGGTTTTTTCGCTGTAAAAAGTTTTCTTCCCACGCACAACGGACGCTAATGTTTTTGTCACTTTTTATGGAATCAAACTCAAAATAAGGTCAAAATAACGCTTTAAACGCTGCACGCTCATACTCTCTCCCACAATCAGTAATGCATTACAAGTAACGCGTTACTGCCCATCTCTGCTCCTACCTGACTAGCTACTGAACATTTTTCTTGGTTTCTCAGCGAGGTCATGTCTTGCTTTTCACATCCGGTGTCAAAACACCAAGATTTTCTTGACTATACTATGTGATATGTCACACTAACTCTGTCTCTCTCTTATATACAGTCTATTAGCTTGGGTACACTTTTATTTTCTTTAGATCTTGCTCTGGTCTGATTGTATTGTATTTAATCTCATTTTGGCTTCATAGCTGTGAAGCTCTTACTGAGTAAATGTGGAGATGTTTTTAGCTGAAAATCTAAATAAAAATAACCAACAAAATGGACAAAATTCATTTAAGTACTAAAGACAAACTAATTCTGGTAAGTCAAATTCAGAGACAACAGAACAAACAAATGCTGGATGAATGATGATGAATGATCAGAGGTTGCGGGGACACTGTTCCTCGACAGTCTTCACCTGGTGTGGTGAGGATCAGGATTAGCACCCAGGCACTGACCTGGCTGCTATGCCAGTGTACCACTAACATACAGTTACTGGTACAGTGATGGGAAACAGAAAGCAGGGATGCTGAATCTTGCCCCATTTTCATGACACCCACTGCCACACTGGCAGTCATCCAGAGAGAGACGTATGTACACAAGCAGTGTGTCACCCTTTTACATATGGCACATTTATTTAAGGAAAGAGTAAGAACAGCAACACAATGTGCTTGCTCTCCACACGCCTCCAAGTGACCACCCACCACATCCTCACCAGCAAAGAGGTGCACCATACAGCGGACCTGCAGGCTACTGCCTTTGAAATATGTCCTCTGCTATTTAATGCTTCGCACACATGTACAATTAAATCTGGCAGTGGATATTTTTAAACCCTCTCACCTCCACATTATTCAGCGTGACATTTCCAAAATGAACCCATGTGATGAAAGACAACCTTTTTGCCTTTGGCTTGGGACTTCTGGACTGGCCAGTGAAGATAGGGCCCTGTCGACTACATGTGTTTGTCTTGTTACTATTATTGCTTATGCAGCAGCTTCTTAATCTCTCTTTCATGGCTCCAGGGATTTGCTGGGGATTATAGTTTTCATACCAGCTGCTGAAATTTGTTTTAACACTGAGTGACGTTCACGTTGGGATAGTTTATTTGAGGGATTCCTAATTTGGTGAAGGAAATGATGGTGTCAATGGTGATTTATTTACAACCTCTGGGTTTAAATAACCAGTCCTTCATACAGATATTTCAAAATCATTTATGAGGCTATATTTATTAAAAGCTTTAAAGACCTCTCATAAGAAGGTGCAGTTTGAAAAGCCTAAATAAAAATTGTCTTAGGGAATAATCCTGATGTGCAGTGTTGGGAAGGTTACTTTTAAAATGTATTCCATTACAGATTACAGAATACATGCCCCAAAATGTATTCTGTAACGTATTCCGTTACCTTACTCAATGAGAGTAACGTATTCTGAATACTTTGGATTACTTAATATATTATCATGCTGTTTACAACTACGTGAATGTACTATTGCTGTGATTTATTTCTGTTACTGAAGGTCCGCGGCTCCGAACCCTAGTAAAGGGACCTCTGGCTGGTTCTGTGTCGGGCTCGTAGCCGAAAAATAGCTTTACTTTGTTGTCTGGGTCAACTTTGCTTGCCTATGATGCTACATTCTTTAGAGCTATACCTGTAGCATTCTGCCTATTAGCTTAGCACAACAACAACAAAAAGGCGCTCTCTCACCCAGACAGAGAGCGTCACCCTGTAACCATGGCAACCGTAACGCTGCCGCCTGGAACAACAGAACGTAGCTGTCAAACAAAACCCAAACAGTCCTGACCCGCGACAATATGAAACAGGGAAGTACTGCCGTGTAATCCATTTATTTCAACAAAGTAACTGTATTCTAAATACCACCTTTTTAAACGGTAACTGTAACGGAATACAGTTACTCATATTTTGTATTTTAAATACGTAACGGCGGTACATGTGTTCCGTTACGCCCCAACACTGCTGATGTGTCAAAAAAGTCGCCCCATTCTGCTTGTCCTTATTTTCAGTTACATACTGTGATATTTTTGGATGTCGTGGGAAAAGAAAATGGACAAAATTTCAAATGATAAGATTAGTGTGTGTTCAAGAAACATGCAAAGCTAGTCCGAAACCAAATAACAAACGGTATTAGAAATTAGCATAGTTGGTTCTCTTTAAAGTCACTGCAATAAACATCATAGAGATTATTATTCTGTTATCAAACTGTAGGACAGAGCGACTTTCAAGGAAATGCCTCACGAGAAAGAAAACCAAAGGACAACAAATGGTTAAAAATGTGAAAAAATTGAACTTATATGTAATAATACATAATTACATTATTATGTATTAATTAAAATTATTATTAATTAGTAATTATAAATGATAATAGCAAAGACTTTTCTTTTTCCTTTTAGGACAGAAACGGAAAATCACGGGGAACAGAGTGGTTGTGAGGGGTAAATGTTTGTATTTTGCTAATAGGATAAGATTTTTCAGAAAGAAAAGCTTCGTAACCAAAAAATACTTACAATGTAAAAAATAAATACACAATATTAATAACAAGAAGCTACAAGATGCAACAGAGTTACAAACTAAATGCTTAGAAAGCATTTGTCTATATAGGCTGTGTGTTCATCAAAGCTTCTTGCACCAGTTACATTTTACACAAGCATGTTTTGCCTATTTCAGCTGCACTTAACTTCAGCGCTCTGACGGTGCTGCACATTTGCATTGCCAAATGGTTATTGAGATTGATATATAATATGTAAGTAATGCTGCTGATCCTATTTTTTGTGAGATAATTCTGTAGGCTCACCAGACGCAAACTATACACACAGTGTCATGTGCACACAGCCATGGTGCAACAGTGTTGCAGCTTTTCATTTCATTTTTAAAATTCATTCGCTGCCATGAAACATTTTCTTATTCATTATCCATATTAATCCTCTGTCATTTGCGTCATTCTCCTGAAAAACTAATCTGTTACATTACTACGGTGTTAAATTTAACTTTAAATGCTCTGTGTCTCAAAAAGCACAGCTAATATCCAATTTGTTCTGACAGCATAATGATCTATCATTATATAGCACAGGAAAAAGTCACGCTGACGTCGCTCCGGCACCCTCTGTGTAGGTTTCGATTTTTTGTATATTTCCACTGCAGCTGGCCCTTTAACAAACACCTCTTGGCATTGATGGTTGAAAAAATGTGAATGAAATCCAGCCATTCATAAAAATAGGCCATCACTGCGCTGTGATTGGCCAAGCCGAGCTTCATGTATAAGTCATGGCTCCGGAGAAACCATTGGCTCTTTACTTAACGGACAGATTAATTCCACCAATCAGAGTGCGTCTCTTGCGTGCCGCTCGAGCCTAGGGGAGAATCGACCGGGCCATTAAAGAAAAAAAGCTCAGTCAAGTTTTGCGAGTCGAAGGGGACACATCAGTCTGTCTGTACGCAGGCGAATACAGGATTCTCGACACGCTGTTTCTTATTTCTGGATATTTTATCTTACTGTTTCGAAAAAGGGGACGTATATATATATATATAGACAAACAAGGTAGGCTACAATTTTTATTTTGGCAAAAAAAAAACTTGCTTTTGCGAATCCCTCGTATGGGTACATGTTTTTCTAATGCTCTTTTTAGACTACGAACGAGCGCAACGCCATCTTAACCATTTTATATCTACTTATATCCGAGTGAAATAGAGTCGCTGTGCGTGTTGTTTTAACCCAGCATGTGTTGGATTTGACCCCTGGTTTATCTGCGTGGATGTTAGCTTTGGCTTATCAGCACGCTCAGGCGACTGTTTGTGATTTTTATGAATGGACTGGCCGCTTTTTTTCCACACGGATCGAGTTTCACACCATTGAGAAAAACAAGGGAGGGCTTGGTGGGTGGGGGAAGGGCGGGTAGGAGGCGGCAGCAGGGGGGTGTCGGATGAGCGTAGCCCCCCAGTCCCCGGTCAAGGCTGAAGTGCAAAAAGTTTTCCAAAAGATGTTTTCTTCTTTTAGGGAAAGGTCTGGAATGCGCCGAATGAGAGTTTAAGTTTTTTTCAGTTCTGCTAAAGCTGCTTAAATTTGTCTGGTTTTGGCATGTTTATGTCGCACATCGTATTTCACGTTTCTGAGCACCAGCCTTGTGCCAAAACCGACTGCGGTATGCCGCTGTACTTAACGATGGTAATAAACGCTGTATGTATTAATTTCGACACAGCGCGCTTACTATAAAGACAAAGAAATAGCTAAGTATACTGTCTGAATAAAAATATTTGAAACGCCTGCTTCGTGCGTACAACTAAATTCTCACTTCGTCTAACAAATCAGTGTGAATGCGGAGGCAAAATGGAGAAAACAAATGCGCCAACTTAGCTTAAAGTTGAACAAAAGTCCCACGTGACATGCTGTACAGTGAGTTCTAATGTTAAAGGTACTATCTGTGCTGGGCGCCTGTAATTATTGCCCAGCAGCTATCCTTTTATTCGTCATCCATTAACGGGAGATAAGAGGAGTGAGTCATGTCTGTGTGCCGAGGGAGAACAGAGGGCAGCGCTCCTGCCCAGTGTTATTGTTTAAAGGGAACTAGTGTCACTAACGGGATGATACTGGACGCAGGGGAGCGAGGAGCTCTGCTTCTGCCAATTGGAACACCACCATTGTCACCCAACAATAGCTCCAAGCTTCTGTAAGACACTAATCAGCTCTGTGACTGGCCCATTTTCCTATCTCATTCAGGAAGCTTTGAGATTTAAAGCATGCCACAGACATCTCTCCAAGTCTTTTACTCAAGATCTCCAAGCTGATTATAGTGGAAAGTAGTGCCCACAGATAGTCAATGAGTGTGGCTTATATAACCATGTTACATGTGTTCTTTAATGATTGTGTTTACATTGGGCCTCTGTGGTTCAAAGAGCTGTTTTGTAGTTCAGATAAAGGGCACAAGAATATGGTGCAAGTACACGTATACATTCCTGTGAGATGAAGTCAGAGCTCAGAAATGACAACAAGGTGTACCAGATTGTAAAATTTGACCGTAACAGTCAGTGCTTCTGAGAACAGGGCTATCCGAGCAGGTTTGTGACACATGCTGTTTGTTTTCCAGTGACCCAGAAAGTCGCTCGACGCTGTCGCTTTAAAGCGAATACCTCCCCCTCCCCTTAATTTTGTGAGCCCCCACCTAATCGACGCAGATAACATGGACGGATTCTATGACCAGCAAGTCCCATTTATGGTCCCACCCAGTGTAAGTGGACACACACAGCCTCATCACACTTTCAAACATTATCTCGACATCATGATTGGACCCCACCCCCGCCACACGCACCTGCCCTGATAGTAGATCATCTGCATTGTCCATCGCCTATCTTCTGGTGCTGCGTGACATTTCGCATTTCTTTGTCTCTGTCCTCTCCAACAGCACAAATCCCATTTGGAGGAAGCAGCTCACAGCAGGCCTCTAAACGATAGGAAAAGGAAATTTATTGACACGGAACTCGCCCAGGACACGGAAGGTAACAGCATTGGTGTCGATCAGTGTTTCGAGATAGAAGCTACTGTACTTTATGATTAATATCTTTTTTCTTTTTCTTTTTTTAAGAACTCTTCCAAGACCTCAGTCAGCTCCAGGAGATCTGGATCGCAGAAGGTTTGTTCTCCATTTGTTTTTGCTCAGAAACCCTCAATTCTTCTGGTAGAAGTTACATCAGTAGAGTCATGTGTTATGTGCCACTTTGTTTCTAAATAGTTAACAGGATGAAATTGGTAAAGTTATAACATCAAAGATTAACTGTTTCCGAGTTAACCTTAAGAGCAAAGTACGACTTGTGCAAACTGCTGACTCAGACCCTTTTTTCATGGGGCTTTTTTTTTTCTTCATGTTTTTTGGAGAGTAGGACACTTGCTGTGTGATGTGTGTATTCTTCTAAAACATGCTACATTTTTCCTGTGCTTTTACAGCCCAGGTGCCTGATGACGAACAGTTTGTCCCAGATTTCCAGTCAGATAACTGTGAGTACCTGATATTTGTTGTTTATCTCTGAGTCCTACTGTTGTCGACAGTCTTGTATTCGTCCTGGCTCTAACTAGTGAGCCTGGGCAAACCTGTGCACAGAGTCCTGCAGCGGTGGCACTTCAGGCTTAAAAACCCAACTGAAACCGCAATGTTTGCGTCTTAAAGATCTGTCTTATTCCTCCTACTGTCTTTTTTCCCCTCTTGCTGGTTCATGTCTCTGTCTTTTGTCAGAACGTCTTCACTAACATCGCTCTTTGTCTTCAAAAACACAGCTCTGGGAAAAAGCTGCTCTCTCCTCCCTCCCTCTCTCCCGCTCCTCCATTTTGAGTTTAATCAGCCGATTGGCATGGGGCATCACATGAGCCAAGCTCCTAATCTGATTTCACACTTTCCCGCACTCAGGCCCTGCTGCTGAAGTGGGCTAGATTCCAGTGGATAGAGCTGCCTGTTACAGTCCTGCTCTCCACAAATCATGTCTTTCAAACTGTCTTCATAGGTCATTTTAAAGCTGCAGAGGACTGAGGCAGTGTATATATGTCCAAGTGGAGTACCCCCTCCAGTTCTCCTATCTCTGAGTTTATGTTTTGGTCCAGCGTGTGGGAGGTGTAGACAGGGTGTGGTTAATGTCTCATTGTCAGGGCTGCCTTTCTCAGTTTTGGCCTCTGTGGTCCACCAGCCTGCAGAGGTGGAGAAAATGGAGGTCGATGCATTGATGAGTTTTCATAGAAGGCTCCATCCAGTGTTGTAAGCGCTGTAAAATGCCGCTGTGACGTAGTCTTTGACCTTGTGCTGTCAGTATGCCATGTGTGTGTGAGAGAGAGGGGCACTTGTTGTTGTTGCCAGGCTGCAGCTTGTTCTCTCGCACAAGTTCAGCGAAACCAGCCTTTCCAAAGTCGGCAGGACATCACACGGTGAGCCGCTCCTTCGCTTGCTCAAGCCTGACCTACTTCTGCTTTGGTCTGCAATGAGAAAAGATGCATAATCTCCCCATTAGTTACTTTTCTCTGTGTGAGCAGTCTAACTTGAGCCATTAGGTTTCAGAGTGCACTCGGGGGAGCTCACGTGCCCATTGTTATCTCCACACAGGTCCATCAGCACGCCGAGTGATTTATTTGGCTTGTGCTCCCCTGTGCCTGGGGATCTAGTTTCTGCCTGGCTATTATGTGGCGCCCCGGAAACGGCGGCCGATCGGCAGAAAGCTGCAGCTAGTGTCTAATGGTTACAGCACAGGAGAATGAAAATCATTCACAGCCATTACATTACAGCTCCACTGATTCATCAGTATGGGTATTGACAGCTGTAATGGGAATCAGACGAGAGGTTTGATAGCTTTTGTGTGTACAGCGCAGTTAGTATCATGCTACCTAGTGATGGTGGATAGATGGTTGTTTTCAGTCAAACGTCATTAGGGCAGATGATAAATAGCTGCTAAGTGGCTCTGTCAGTCGGGGGAATACAGACATTGTCCATGCATCCATTTATCCCTCACTTCCAAATCTGGTTAAGAGAACTGCTGCACTTATGCTTATGGCTTCAATTAGGTCATATCTGGAGTTTATCTAATGCACTCAGTCGTGTTCCTTGTCTCTGTGTCTCCTCCTGTCTAGTGATGTTTCATGGCCCGCCACCAGCCAAGATCAAACGAGAGCTGACTCCTTCCAAAGAGCTTTCTCCTTGTCACCAGGACAGGAGTCCCATGCCCTACGGAGAGAAGTGCCTTTATAGCTACAGGTATGTTGTGTCATTACGTTCCACATCCCTCTCTAAATGAAGGATTTCTAGCCAGTTTTATGTTGACCTCCGTCCCTTCTCTTGATCCCCAGTGCCTGCGACAGGAAGCCCACTCCCGGGTTCAAGCCACTAACTCCCCCCTCCACACCAGTCTCTCCTTGTGGCCCCACCAGCACAGCAGTAACCCACCCACTGAGTGAACAGACCCCCCCTCTGCACTCCCATGTAGCTAACCCAACCCCAGGCGCTCGTCCAGTGCACATCCAGCAGTCTATAACAGCGAGCACAGCCCCTCCCAACGCGCAGGGCCTTCCAGTCAACAACCACAGCCCACCCTTTGCCGTGCCCTGTGCCCCTGTCAGCCAGGATGCCAACAGCTTCACACCTGAGCACAGGTGAGCCTCCACAGATGAACTTTGCTGTTGCATTCTGTGATTTTGATTTATTTATTTTTTGCTTTACTTATTACATCGTCTCTCTACTTCTTCCGTGTGTAGATTCCAGAGGCAGATGTCAGAACCATGTTTACTTTTCCCCCCATCTGAGAGTCAAGGGCGCCCCCAGTTCTTGCCTCAGCCCCCCAGCAGCAGCTCCAACAGCCTGCCACGCGATGGCCGGCCGCCATACCACAGGCAGATGTCAGAGCCATTGGTGGCTGTGCCTCCCCAGGGTTTCAAGCAGGAGCTCGTTGACCCACGATACACAGAGCAGGGTGTCCCCGCCATGGGACCCCCGGGCCCTCCACGTCAGGCAGCTTTCCACCCCATGGCTATCAAACAGGAGCCTAGAGACTTCTGCTTCGATTCCGGTGAGTCAAAGGGCAGCACTTTATAAAATATGTGAAGCGCTCATCACCTTTCCTTGTCGAGTTCTCTGGGTACCTTTCTCTGCGCATCATTTGCAAGCTGTGTGAAAGCAGTTGTTCAGGACTGCAAGTAGGGCCAACTGAGAGCGAGGAATGTGCCTGGCCATGTTTGTTCTGGGCATCAGCACATGCTTGTTAGTTTTAGTATGCAGCAGAGGTCTGGACACGGCTGCTCATTTTAAACACACAATTATCCTCAAAGCCAGAGTCGTGCCAGTAAAAGTGTCTCTTCTAGCTCAACATTAGCTTCCAAGGGAGGGAGAGAAATAAGTGGGTCACTCAGCCAGGTGCAGAGAACCTTGTCTTCACTGAGCCTACCTGGAAAGGATCTGGGCCAGTGCCCAAAACGGACAGCAAAGTTGGCTCTAAGGGCTTTGAAATTGTCAGCTTGAGGCCAAATGATGCTGCTCCTCTTTAAAAAAGTATCGCTATGAGTGAGGGCACAGAGGCTGCTTGCTCACATGGTTTAATTCAAACAAACCAGAGCGACCCCACGCCCACGCAGCCAGCTGTTATCCCTGCTCTGTTGCATTAACATCCCTGTTTCCTGAAATTCGGCAACTCTTTATTTATTTTTTTTTATCTTTACCCCGTCACTCACTTTGTATTCCTTTTCTGTGTGCGGGCACATCACTGGCTGGCTGGACTGTGATGTAATGACAAATCCTCTTAGGTTCTTATAGCCTTTAAATACCTACGTCACAGTCCCCTCATATCTCTAGATGGAGGGGACATGTTCATGTTGGGCGTATCTACATATAATTTATTCTCTTCGGAGCGTTTGCAAACCATAGAAAGACTCCAGTCTTTTCGAGAGAGGAGACCAACTCTTTCAATTGCCTTCAACATGCTTTAGAGTCGCTTCTATGTCAAGGATAGATTTTCCTCAGATAAGCTGTGTTCCTCCACTAAACAACATACATAAATATGTAAGTGAATATAGTGTCAGATAGTATTTTGCTGGCTGGTGAGCTAAGCTAGCTAGCTGGTACATTGGTATTGAGCAGTTTGTCTCCTTTGGCACATAATGTTTATCCAGGAGAAAGCTAGTTTTATGTATTGAAGCTCATCAGGCCAAACAAGAATTTGATCACATGAATGTCGAGGGAAAGCAGTGGTCAGAAAGGCAAAAGGACATTCAGTGCATGGAGTTATTTTGTTTTTGGGATCAAAATTGAGCTTAGTGCTATTTTCTTCTGAGAAATGTTAGCCAACTCTGGCTTGCCTGTTTGCAAGTAGAAATTAGTGGCTTTCTACAATGGGATAAGTAACTTTTAATATGCCACATTTAGGACTCTCACACAGCAAACTACTGTCTTGAGTGGATAAATTCCGTTAATTAATCCAAACTCTTGAAGTCATCTGGAACCTTAGCTGGTCATGTCCAGATTATTATCAGCCAACTGATAATAATGGTACTAGCCATTGCATAAATCCCAAGATTTATGCAACTAGCTGGCTATAGTCACATTGCTTGTTAATGTTATGAACAGGAAAATCGCATTTGAGTAGAAATGCTAGTTGACTACGACAGGTACAGGTATCTGGTAGGGGCTGGTTCGTGTCCAGGTCACTTATATTAATACTTGCATGTGCCCGAGTCTCAAGGGTGGACGGTGTCATGCATCACTTTTGACTGATGCTAGCTTGCACACGTTGCAAGCACACCTTCAGTTTACTTAAAGATTATGTATGTTATTAATAACAGCAGCTGCAGAGCTCCTTTAAGAAACACTTGTTTAAGATTGATGTCTGGTTTTCTTATCAGCAGACAGGAGACAGAGCAATGGAGGTTGTGGTGTGGATGGTTAGTACACTCTGCAGAGATGCTGAAAACGGAAGGCAGGCTTTGACCCCTCAGGGGGAGGAACTGGCGTAACTTGATTGTCATTGAGATTTAATACAGCCACCATGGTGCTAATCCTATTTAAAGGCTTGGAGGACATGCAGGGGATGTTGAGTGCGGTGCAGTGTGCTCTGATCTGGGCTTTAGCCCACTCAAATGTGTAAGCAGACTATGCGTTTTTCTGCACAGCTGTTGGACCTCTAGATGAACATAGGCCATGTGTGAAGTGGAGCGAAAATACAGTAATACATTAATTTAGCCTGGACAAAATTAATGTAACCACAACTCTGCTGAAGTACAGCATCAAAGCCATGTGTCTTTGTGCACAGTGGCCTGAATATATCCATCAGTTGTTAGGTGGATTTTGATGTTTGATGTGAGAACGAGGGTGCTTCTGGTCTAAATTTAGTCTTGTATTTTCTTTGTCTACAGAAGTGCCTAACTGTCAGTCATCGTTCGGGAGAGCTGGAAGCTTCTACCAAAATAACCATGACAGTAAGTTCAGCTTCTTCTCTGCTTTTGAATCGTTTCACATGTGAAGTTTCTCCTGTGACCCTCACCCTCACGACTTACTGAGCCACTGAAAGCGCAGCATGAGGTGGAAAGAGCGGTCAGCAGCATTCATGGGGAAGTGAATCTATCAGTCAATCCAGATGCACATGCACAGTACATTTCTAATATCACCAAGGCCTTAGTGCGCTACATCCATACAAGCAGCTCAGTTCTGTTGCTTTGCATTAAGCTTGGATGTCTGGACTGACCATGGTCACTGGCCTTCATATCATATCAAAAATATACTCACTCTCATCTGCTGGATTTCTTCTTTTCTCTTCTGTTCCAGGCTTCTCCTTTGACAGAGATGCTCAGCTGTACTTTGATGATACATGCGTGGTTCCTGAAAGATTAGAAGGTAAGGAGAAAAACAAAAGCAGTATTATACGCCCTTAAAGCAGTGGGAATTTTCTACACGCTGCCTAATAAACAAGCGCGCTTCACCATCTGGCAGGAATGTCTCACCACACTGTGGCTGTGCTGGAGAACATTACTGATTGAGCCTTTCTCTTTTTTTCCCTCCTGCTTGGTTCCCCTTCGGCCTCTTTCAATTCCATCCTCTCCTGCTCACAGGTAAAGTAAAACAGGAGCCTTCAGTCTATCGTGATGGGCCTCCTTATCAGCGCCGCGGCTCCCTGCAGCTCTGGCAGTTCCTGGTCACCTTACTGGACGACCCAGCCAACGGCCACTTCATAGCCTGGACTGGTCGTGGGATGGAATTCAAGCTCATTGAGCCCGAGGAGGTCAGTCCTCGCCTTTGTGCAGCATTACTAACATCCTTTGTGACTTTTGTAATTTACAGTCTTTATTTGTCTCTTGTCGTCTGTAGGTGGCTCGTCGCTGGGGCATCCAAAAGAACAGACCTGCCATGAACTACGACAAGCTGAGCCGCTCACTGCGTTATTACTATGAGAAGGGCATCATGCAGAAGGTAAAGGCACGTTCAGTTTTTTTTTTTCTTCCCTCAGCAGCTGCGTGCTAAATGAGGCTAATATAGTGACGTTGATATTTAAATACAACCATGAGCCATCCTCTGATCTTAACCACTGGTAAATAGGCTCTCGTGCATGTTTGTTTGATGTTGTCTGACTCAGTTTGAATTAGTGCATTAAAATGAACAGAAATCATTTATATTTTAATTTGAAAAACACAGAATAATGCTGAATTAGTTTTTTAAATCAGGTTACTCAGTAGCGCAGAGGTTTTGTACAAATAAAATGACACGTTTGTAGATCTAAAGCTCTTTATTTGATCTCAGTGTGTTTTGTCTCGTTGCTCAGGTGGCTGGTGAGCGGTACGTGTACAAGTTTGTGTGTGACCCCGAGGCTCTGTTTTCCATGGCCTTCCCCGACAAACAGAGGCCCAGTCTTAAGGCTGACCCAGACAGCCTGCCGGGGCTCGACGATGACACCGTGCCCCTCACCCACTATGACGAAACTGCTCCCTACCTGCTGGACGGCGGGGAGCAGTGTGTGGCAGGCCTGCCCTTTCCAGATGGTTACGGCTACTAAATGGGCAGTGGGGGTTCCCCAACTCACAAACACACATGTACATGCAAACACTCCCAATAAGTCTGTCGGCGCCCAGTCTTTAGAATCCAGAGCTGGAGCTGCAGAGTTACTTGGATCAACATCCTGGCACTCTGCTCCTTCTTGGTTCCCTCTCCTGCTCGCTGGAAAATAGAACTCTGTTGGCTCCTCAGCTGAGAATGAAGGGAGAGGGCGGGAGGGGGCCTGCGAGGCTCCCCTACTTGCACCATCAGAGAACAAGAGAAGAGAGGGTTGTAAAACCAGTGATGGTGAACTGGACTAGGTTACTCAGCAAGATAGGCTGCTGTTGCTGTGGAGACCAAATGAATTGTGGCCACAGGCAGCACACTTTAGGTGGACTGATAGATCTCCCACCCCTCCTTTTGTAAGAGATTGGAGAAAAAAAATTGTTACACTTTTGATTTTGTGACAATCTGCTCTTCTTAAAACAATCAGTATAAACATGACGAATCTAATGAGATATTCTAAACTTCTTAATAGTTGCCTTTATGGTCCCCAAGTTATTCATGTCACCACATTTGAACCATGAGATCCGTGAAAGGGCTTTAAATGCATTAAAACTGATTGACAAAACACACAGCATATGTTGAAAACATTTCTGTAGATAGGACAACCTTGTTTGTTTTTGTTTTTGTGCCAGCTGTTTTATGATTCTGTTAAGACTTCAGAGACCCAGAACTCTCAGGTCCTTTCTGAGGCGTTGCTGTATTTCAGGCTAGTCAGTTGGTTGGGCTGCTCTCTCGTGTAAATGTTCTTTAACTGTTCTGCCCGTGTAAGAGATTGTATCCGCTTCCCTTTAAAGACTGCACCCCACAGTAAGAGCCTACGGTCTATACAGTACACTCCTCATGTCCGTTCATCACTGCTGGGTCTGTATTGCTCAAACTTTAGCATAGAACTCCCATCTCCTTTTTTTCTTTTCTTTTTTTAAGCCTAAGAAGTTGTATGATAAATGGTCACATTGCTCATTGTTTTTTGTATTTCTGTCTGGGTGCTTAATGTTTCCTTGGCAGTGTACTAGTTCCTCTGATGCACCAGTATGGCAGGAGCATCAGGATGCTGCATGCAAAAAAAAAAAAAAAGAAAGAAAGAAAAGAGGTGAAACTTGGACATTTGACACCTCTGCCAATCACGAGCTGTCAGCAGACCTCCTCTGTTTCTCTTTGCATGGTGTAATCTGTTCAAGACTGTGTCCACTAACATATTGCTTTACTGTCATTGGACAAAGAAGATATTTGTGATATTCTCTGCAGTTTTTTGTGTTTATCTGTTTCTGAATGGGGGCAAAGACAAACTTATATAAAGTATATATTTTTGCTATAAGGCTGCGTTTGTTTTGATTTTAATGTATAAGCTGTATAGTTTTGGCTCTAATAGAAATGTACCTTTTTTTTACAAAAACAAAACAAAAAAATCTTTTCTTGTGATGCAACTACTGCAGACTACAACTACTCTTTTTTTTTTTTTTTTTTTTTTTTTTTTGTGTTGGGTTGGAGAAAGGCTGAGATATTATCTTGCCTGTAAAATGTATGCGTATAAAGGCCAGAGTACCAGCAAAGGCCAAAGTGAACACGTGTTCTATCACGTAATGCAACTCAGGCACAGGGTTTGTCTGCACTTGTACAGGCTTCAGCTCCCCCCCCTCACGATGTGTTTCTTACACTGCTGGCTTTCTGATAATCTGTACTGGGTACAATAAACAGTCCTTAATGCTTCACTGCCTGCACTTGTGGTGTGTTTCTTCTTTTTTCTCCTTCCATCCACCCACTCCTACTCCTACTTGCAATGAGCCAGTCAGCTGACTGGCTGTGGTGGTCTGGCAGTCACTGCTTGACCTGGCTGATGTGTGAGTCACATGCCTCTCCTGACTCTTTCTGCTGCATTTCTTGGTAAATGATTACTTGCTTAATCCAAATGTGCTTTGAGCAATGAAAAAAGGAGACAAAGATATACATGCATTTTTTTTTTCAATGCTATATTTCAGGTTAAGGCTTTTGAGCATTTTTGGTAATCTGTTATTCAATTTGTTAAATATTTAGTCCATTGAGACCTGTGTACAAAAAACATACAGTACAACTTGAGAATTCAGACAAGTCTGCATGAAGTTTATTTAATCTGCAGTTTAACCTGTGTCCGCATCGCTAGTTTAAACAATTGTCCTGTTTGTGCTAATAAAAATGTATAGGTTCTCATTCGGCACTTAAGTTGAGAATCACCAGTTAACCTAACATCCATGACTCGGGACTGTGGGAGGGAATCAATTGGCTGATTAACATTAACATTGGCTGATTGATTCAACCTAGGACCTGGGGTCCTAGACGGCTGTAGGTCAGGAGGAAGAGCAGGCCATTGATTAATTGTAAGGTTGGATGTTCAGTCGCTGACTGCTCCAGTCTGCATGACAAATATCCTTGGGAAAGATACTAACCCCAAGTTGCTCCATCAGAATCTGGATGTCTGTGAATGTTAGGCAGAGAGCACTTATGAATAGAAAAAAGTGCTTGTGTGAACGGGTAAATGAAGCATGTTGCACTTTGAGTGTTCATTTGGAAACGCACTACAGTATATAAGAATTACTATTAATTTACCGTCTTACTGTGAGCGTAACAGTGTTACACATTTTTTCAAAGTTACAAATACACTGTCTCTAGATTGGCAGTCTGGGATGGTAGTTTCCATCTTGAAGGGGGTTTGGAGGGTGTGCTCCAGCTACAGGGGATCACACTCTTCAGCGTCCCTGAGAAGGTCTATGGCTCATAATTTTTATAGACAGACTTTCTAGGCATAGCCCGGTAGCAGAAATTTTCCACTTTGGTGGCCTCAGATTTGCATCTCTGCTTTTTCCAGATGATGTGGTTCTATAGGGTTCATCAGGTGGTGGCATCCAAATCACACTGGAGTCATTCACAGCGGCGAGGAATGAGAATCAGCACCTCCAAATCTGAGTGTCCACAGCCAGAAAAGCCAGAAAAAGGTGGCAGGTCCACTCTGGGTCAGGGATGAGATCTGGCCCCAAGTGAAGGAGTTTATGCACTTCAAGGTGTTGTTCACAAGTGAGGGGAGAAGGGATTGAGAGATTGACAGACTACAGATTGTTATTCGTGCATTCATTTCATCACGATTGGACTACTGTAATTCACTGTTTACATGTCTAAACAAAAACTCCCTGGAGCGTCTGCAGATTGTCCAAAATGCTGCAGCAAGATACTCTCATGTAACACCGTTGCTTATACAGCTGCATTGGCTCCCCGTTGAATTCAGAGTCCATTTTAAGATACTGGTTCTGACATTTAAAGCTCTTCAAGGACAAGCACCAGCCTACATCATTGAACTTTTACAGCCCTATGTCCCTAGTAGGTCCCTGAGGTCTTGTGATCAGGGCCTACTTGTTGTTCAGCATACAAGGCTGAAAACCAAGGGAGATAGAGCTTTTGCCACTGTGGCCGCCAGACTGTGGAACTCTCTTCCTCAGAACTTAAGATCTGCGGACTCAGTGATCACTTTTAAATAACAACTTTTTAGAATTGCATTGTTAACTTTTGTCTGTTTTTGTTTTATACCTTGTGAAGCACTTTGTGATTTTTTTATCTAGAAATGTGCTATATAAATAAAATTTTACTTACTTACTTACAGTGATGTGACTGCTGTACCAGTCCATTGTGGTGAACAGAGAGCTGAGCGTAAAAGTGAAGCTGTCTATTTACTGGCCAATCTACATCCCTACCCTTTGGGTAGTGACTAAACAAATGAGATTGTGATAGAAATGTCAGAAATGAGCTTTCTGCGAAAGGTGACTGGCTTCTCCCTTATACATATGATGAGGGAGGTGAGATGAGGGCTCTGGAGCAGGCAAGGACACGCTGGAGAGATATTATCTCTCGGCTGGCCTGGGAATGTCTATGTATTCCCCAAAATAAGATGAAGGAGGTGGCAGGGGAGAGGGTGGTCTGCTTAGGCTGCTGCTCCCACCTGGCCTCAGATAAGCAAAAGTAAATAAATGGACAGATGGACAGAAGGATGCCACATCTTTTTATAGAAAATAAATATATCGAAAATCACTGAATAATTATGCGGCAGGCTAGTCTTAAAAATGGTATTGAGTAGTTTCTGGCCCGCAGGTGCTTGTATGCATCCCTGACAACATTGGTGCACACTCTTAATCTGGAGTTGGGCATCACTGAGCTCCTGGACTATCTGAGGTGCAGCCTGTAGAACTCCTTCCAGAGGTTTTCTATTGAACTTAGTTCAGGAAAGTGGTATCAATTCTTTCATCCTCCTGGAACTGCCTACATACTCTCACCACAAAAGGCCAGGCATTGTCTTGTACCACGAGAAATCCATCCAGATACCTGATGGTAGTCAGGCTTCTGTTGGCTAGCCTGTAGAGTTCCTTGCATCCCTCTATGGAGATTTCCCCCTAGATCATCACTGATCACTACCAAACCAGTCACACTGAACTACATCACAGCCAGCATGTAATGGGCTAAGTTTCCATCCAGCTTAAACACTCCCAAATAAATCTCCGAGACACAGGGGGTTGAAGTCCAGGAGCTTTACTGGGTACTTTTTGTGAAACTGTAAACACGATACAATGAAATATATGAGATGTATTATAGATACAATAAGCTCAAAACATCTGGCTAATTATTACAGCCTAACAACCTAGCCGCATAGCTTATATGAGACACAATAAAGCTAACCGAATAACAGACAACGGTTCAAACGCTTCGCCGCTTAATAGTACAAAAATGAATTATACTCACAGACTATGCCTTAGCGAGGGGAAAAGGATTAAACCTGTAACGGCGGAGCTGGCGGCTGCATGAGCCCACACGCTAATATCCCGAGTCACACGGTAGATTCACTTCCTGACTCCCAGCATGCACTGCTCTCGTGCTGTCATGGTTACGAAGATACACGAGTCGCTACGAAGATACACGAGTCGCTCTAAGCTGTGATAACGAGATAAAAAAAACACATGAGAACACATTTCTGAAGGCATGACACTCCCCGCTTGGGATCTTTAAAGAGCCCACATCAATCAGCAGAATCAGACTTTGGAGAAAGAAGCAGAACTACTTCTGTAATGGGACGAGAGAATCCTCTCCTCTTTCCATCCTTGACGACCTCCACTTCGACTCTCCGAACCAATCCGTCCTTTCCTGGAAAGGCTTTCGTAATGATGCCCATAGGCCTCTCGTTCCTCTCTGCCTGATTATCTTTTAGGAGAACTACGTCCCCTTCTTGAATATTCGGCTGTTTCCCTTGCCACTTGTGCCGAAGTTGCAGTGTTTTGAGGTATTCACGCCTCCATCTGTTCCAAAACATCTCCGCTAAGCCCTGAACTTGTTTCCACTCCTCTCTGAAAAGATCTGCTTCCTCGAAATTGCCTGACGGCAAAGGAGGTGTGGAACCTGTTTTAAGAGTCAGGAGCATCGCCGGCGTGAGGATGCAGGGCGACTCCGGGTCGGATGACACTGGGATGATCGGCCTTGCGTTCATAATCGCAGCTACCTCGGCCATAAGTGTGGTCAGAACCTCATGTGTCAGGCGAGACTTTCTTTGTTCAAGCAGCATGCAGTCCAAGATACGGCGGGCGATGCCGATCATCCTCTCCCATGCGCCACCCATATGGGATGCATGGGGTGGGTTAAACACCCAGGTGCAGCTCTGTTTACTGAGGTACTTCTCTACCCTGTCGAACCCTGAGTTTTCCTTGTCCATCCCCAACTCACGGGAAGCGCCGACGAAGTTAGTTCCGCAGTCCGAGCGTATCTGCTTCGCGGGGCCCCTGACCGCAAAGAATCTCCTCAAGGCGTTAATAAAGCTGCTAGCACTCATGGCTTCGATGACCTCAATGTGTACCGCCCTGGAACACATACACGAGAATATCACCGCCCATCGCTTGGAGTTCGAGACTCCTCCTCTTGTGCGGCGTGAAACGACGTCCCATGGTCCAAAAACATCAACGCCCACGTAAGTGAAGGGAGGTGCCACTCGTAGCCGTTCTGCTGGCAGGGCTGCCATCTGTTGATGTTCAGCCTTCCCTCTCAGCTTCCTACAAGTGATGCATCTGTGAAGCAGACTACTAATACAGCGTTTGGCTCCCACGATCCAAAACCCTGCAGCCCGAATAGCACCCTCGGTAAGATGTCTCCCTTGGTGCTTTACTGCTTCGTGATAGTGGGACACAAGCAGAGTTGCGAGGTGATGCCGGCCAGGAATGATGATGGGATGAGTCTCGTTCATGCCTAAGTCTGACTGCTCGATCCGACCTCCTACTCTGAGTAGTCGATCCTGGTCCATAATGGGATGCAATCTCCACAAACTGCTAGAGGATGGTATGTTGGTTTCCGAGTTGATGCACTTGAGCTCTTCTGCGTAGCAGTCGCCCTGGACGCTCCTTACAATGCACACCTCGGCTCTCAGTAACTCCTCCTCTGTAGGACGACAAATGTGCCAGCCTCGACATTCGCTCTGCGTCGAGCGAGCGAAGGACCTAGCTATGTGTATCAGGTGTGCGATGGCTGCACGGAGTGTGCTGAACTTGGAGAAACGTTCAAAGCGTTGAGGGCGTATCACACCTTTGGTGACATGGGTGAGTTTCGCCGTCACCTGCGGACGCACTTCGGCATCGATGTCAGGGTCGACGAGATTGTACGTCTCTTGGAGCTCGGATAGATGCCCTGATGCGTCGCAGAGAAAGGCTGGTCCTTTGAGCCATGG